CGATTGTGAACTTGCAAGGATGTTTTTAGAGGTGTTTGCTTTTTGCTTTTTCCTCTTTCTCAGATCCATTCTGTGAAAATATGTCTGGTACAAAATTTGTAGCTCAGACTTTGCTCTTTCAGCCAAAAAGAGTTTGACTGATTTAGAAGTTAGCAAGACGGTCTAAGAGAGCTTGACATTTGTGCAAAGACTTTTGCACCGCATGTTATGTTACAGAAGTGCTATGATAAAAAGGAAAGAATTGGGACATCCGGTCAAATTAATCAGCCCCATATACAATACATTGGGTAATATGCCGAAAGCTACGGATATTGTTTCATTTCAACCCAAAATAAATGAATCCCACAAAGTCAACAAGAAATTATTTCTTAAAACAATAACTGTCGTTACTTAAATTAGTTTACCATACAAGAAATGAATCATGGATAATAATAAAAACAAAATGATTCAACTATTTTCAGTTTCACGAGAACAAAAGTTAAGAAACATTTTCTGCTGGAATTAAGACGTGTATAGAAGATTAGTAAATGAGAAATATATTTACATATTTTTTCTTTCTACTTTTTCTTGATATGTACGGCTTTATGTGGAATAAAGCGACTTTCTATAAATCAGTACAGTTTCCTCATCAACTTATGCGATTGTCCACTGTTGTTTCATAAGGCAGTTGTAAAAGAAAGACATTCACAGAACTTAACGATACAACAGATAAAAACAATGGTACTATAATCTTGACAAAACAAAGGACATTTACAAATGTCAGTTTCTATCAAGAAAATAAGAGGCTCTAGTAATTATAATAGGCATACAATGAATCTATTTGGAAAACAAGTAGCAAACAATAGAGAGCAACTTCAACAGAACAGAAAATTATTGTGAAGTTTAACCAGACCCATAGCTTTATTTTTACGCTCTCGAATTGATTCATAATTTATGCTAAGCATATTATTCACCAACAAAATACTAGAGATCACAGAAAAAAACGTAGTGATACAAAATACCAAATGATAATGCAGTATTACACGAAAAACTTCAAGTGAATAGATCTATTCACACTCCAGAACAAGCATCAAGAATTAATTCAAAAGTCTAAAAACTTTCTTCATTTATGATTCTATTTTATTAGTTTAATTTTCAATTTTAAGCTTTCAATAAAACTTGAACATAAAATATGTAAAGTTATCAAGAAGTACATTCACTAAATATGAACCGCTGAATTTCAAGTATTTTTATACCGTTATATAATTTATTATATTCTTTAGCAGATATTCCGATTTTCTGGCTTGAGGAGAAATGCTCAAACAAACAGCTCATCACTCTAAGTTTAAGCCAAAATGACTGTACTTACTTAAGAGACAAAGACTAGAAGCAAGTAAACCATTCTGTTTATTGAAAACATCGATTTGATTTGAAACATTGAGTATTTAGTTTATTGAAGCTGTTTGATTTCCTATCAAGTCCCAAAAGATAGAATTCGGATTATTCAGCTAGTCAAATATTTAACGAATTTTTCTTTTATTCATTAGCATAGATTTCTAAATATATAAAATAAGTGTTTTATTTTTCGTTCAGTATGTATTCATCAAAGATCATAATATTATATAATAAAAAATGTGTCACATGACATAATTGAAACAGAAATATTCTTCATAATCTTCTCAGTTTATTTTCGAAACTATGATATCGGCTTTCGAATATTATTAAGATTTTGGTTTTAAACAATCATCTATAAAATCAAGTAAATCAAGTTGTTCATCAATAATTTCAACGCTCTTCGGAGGATTTGGTGTGTGCTTTAATAAATTACTTTTACTGCTAGTATAAACTGCAAGACGTCTTGTTCCAAGACGAAGACCTTCAAAAAGCTGAGCAACATGAGTAAAACCTTTTTGTTCGAGTACAAAATAACCACGACATATAGTAATAAATAATTCATTTTTTTGTATTTCAGGTAAGTTATTAATTAAATATTCTTCAGCATCTTTATATGATGATTTAAAGACGATTTCTAATGTTGGATGACGTTTTTTAATTTCATTAGTTGTTTTTGGATCGTTTTGAGGTATATCAATCCAAAGTAACATTGGTTTTAATGAGGAAGTGTTTGGTGTCTTGGGAATTGAGGAGTTCGATGGCGATGGTGGATATGAACGTACTGGGAAAACATCGATTATAGGCAGAAGTGGAAAACCTTGCTCATTTGCAGTCGATGGATATGGCAATGTTGAAGAGTTTTCTAACTTATTTTCACCTAAACAACAAATTAAAATAAAGTCTTTTTCTGAGAAGAAATTCTTTGAAGAATAAAATACAACCTGAATACAAAGAGAGAAATCATTTTATGTAGTCAAAATCATGATAGAACATAAACTTTAACTAATTACTTGTGGTGATTCGTCTTAAAGCTATGACGAGGACGAAAGAGGAGAGATTTTAAGTCAATAAATCTAGAACTGTCGTGAAATCTTTTGAACCTAATTTTTTTATAACCTCTTGAAAATTTGAAGTCTCTATTCTCGAAATCTGCTGTTTCTCCTCGAGTCATAATGATTAATATGCTGTCGATAATATATACTGCAATTCAGAGAGAGTCTCTTAAAATCTTAACACTGACTAACTATAGATTAATCATCGTCAAACTAATCAATCGAACCATTCAATTGAGAATATATCAAGTATTTGTATCATATGCCTATCATTTTGATTTATTCTCGTAATAATTTCGAATGACGACTGGTACTATATGAAATTCGAGTGATTGAAAAAGAAGAGACTTGCATTAGAGATGTATGATTGCGAATTCACATCAAAACTTTTATAGGAATTCTTAATAAACATGTCTGTTTTACTTACTTCCTGTAGTTACTGCATTCTGCAATGGTGGTGCATAATCTTTTTGTGATACTATAGGTTCTATATGTGATACTCGACAACCTGCATTCCATAGTGTTTCTTGATTAACTCCAACAAATTCTTTTACTTCAAATTCTTTTTCTGTTGCAATAACATTTGGAAATTCAAGTGCTCCCGGTATTTCATCACGTTTGTTTGTAAAGATCAGAACAGGTACTTGTGATAATTCTGAACGAACAGCACGAATAACATCAATTGCTGTTTTATCATTTTGTATTGTCCATAAAGTAACAACTTTAAGTCTAATGTGTGGTTTTCGAATTAATTCTTTATTAGTTTTAAGCCATTGTTGAGCTTCTTCAATTGTTTGAACAACAGTCAGTTTATGATCATCATCGAGATGTGTTGATAATTTAGAAGTATTTTGTAAATTTTGAATATCTTTTATAAGATTTTCAATATTTTCAAGTTTTTTATCACCTATTATCCATAATACATGAAGACTGATAGGTATCATGATCGATGGAGTATGATGTACACTCGTATTACTTGCTTTTGGTATGGGTAGAAATTTTGCTAAATCATATGCAAATGTGTCTTCAACCAGAACTTCGACTCCGCTCATTTCTCTTGTTGGCCATGGATTTGTTAATGATAATTGTGCAACAGTATATGGCGCTATGCACTTTGATGCAAATTGTAATTCATCATTTGTTATTGGTCTCGATTTATGTGGCCATTCACGATTTGCTTCAAGACGGTTTCTGGTTTCTGCTAATTTTCTAAATAATTGGTCTAGATATTTTTGATAATCATGAGTCAAATGAGCATATGAATATGATGCTTCAACAGATGCATCGATAGGATTAATTAAAACACGTAATGAACGACCTTGTTGTTCACGTGCACGAAGACGAGCCATAAAACCTTCATAATCAA